ATCCTGTTTCTCTCTGGAAGAAAGTATTTCTCTGAAATTCTTTTCACAACGGGTGAGCCTGCCACCCACATGTTCCCCTTGCCATGACTGACTCCTCTTCCTCTTCTTTTTCAGTGAGGAAGAGAAGACTTGCAGAGCTGAACGGGCCTATTTTTCCCAAGTGCAGAACTGGAGTGTAGCTCCTGGCTACGGAGGTCGTTCCCGGTGATCTGTGCTACACTGTGGAAATCTAAAGGCAACAAGTGCCTTGACAGAGTATTCGTGGTGACTCGGTTCTGTGTTTTGCACTAACAGTTTAAATTAACTAGTGGCTGTAGTTGAAGATTTTATCCAGTAGGACTATTGTTGTTTTCTGTAGAGCTGGAAACTATTCAAGCCAGTAACAACCTGCCAATTTTAAGCAATCTTGGGTTAGCGTACATCCCAGTGTAAACGTGATTATTAATTAACCTAGGACCTAATTTTTCTATAAACTTCCTGCACGGTGTTTCATATAGTTAGGATGTGGTATGCATGAGTGAAAAATACTAGTTCCACACAAATTATAGAAGTATTAAAAAAATACTTTATTTTTTTTTTCAAATCGATCTCAAGTAACTAGAGAGAAGCAACTAGTTTAACAAGTACTTCTACTATCCTGAAATATAGTAAATGTAAGGAGTTGTGAATTACAATTTTTATTAACTTTTGCTAAGTCAGTTAGTTGGAGATGCTGTTTCAAATGCATCCTTGTTTCTTAAAAAAAAAGATGGATTTTTTCTCCCCACACAAATTAAAAGGAACATAAGGCCACCAATTACAATATAATGGATTCTCAAAAACCGAGCACTGTAGGATGGATTAATATCCTCTTATCCTATGCATGTCTGAGTAAAACCTCCCCCATTAGAGACACAGAGATGTGTCTCTAACGCCACAGAGATGGCCAAACTAATCAGCAGTCCCAGGGTCCTCTCTTCGAACTCCCACTGCCTTCAATTTTGTAATGTTATAAATGTGATCAGAGCCTTACCAGTCATATGTTAACTCCTCACTCTTCACTGTTCTGACTAATGACCCTGCCTAATGACCTAATTAAACGTGGTTCTACTAGCGATTGTTTCTCCTGCTACCATCCCTCACATCTGCATAAATGCAGCACTAAACAGCATGCCATAGCAAAGGTGTTGCTTGAAATAATCTGACTCTGAACTTCTGCTGCACACAGTCGGACAGTTTCTGTTAGCAAGTCTACTACCCATCATCTAGCCTGGGAGGAATTCCCCATAGGTTTATGTAGCTCTCAGACACGCAGTGGAAGGGACCCAGGACTATCCCATCCAAAACTCCTGCTGTTGACTTGGATGGGATCCTGCTTGATAGGAAGGGTCTCCCTGGCAGAAGTGCTCTCATACCAAAGCCTTACTCTTGCTCTGATGACATGTTCTAGCAGATGTTCTCACTTACTAGCAATCTGTCTGCACACATCTGTTAAGAGTGTTCAGCAGCCTTTACACATATTCCTGCAAAAGTCCCACAGATTTCAACAGAGCCTCTGCACAAATACCACAGAGGATTTGGTTCTGACCAATGACATTACACTGGCAACAACGTGGGAGACATATTTGGTACTCTTTAAATCTTAATAAACGTGTCAGCAGTGTCAAATAAAAAGCTTCCCTACAGCTTCCTTTTTTTACTCCGTAAGTTCCGTTTCAGAAGATGAAGCGTACAGAAGAAAAGGGCATGCTTATACGAAAAACAAACTGGCTGTCAAATAGCTCCTTCCTACCATATGCACTGCAAGGACATTAAACAGTCAAGTAAAGCATCAAACCAGAGCCACACAGTTTCAGCTAAGCCTTACACTCAGATTCGCATGGTACAAGCTCAGCTCTCCCACAGGCTTAAAAAGAACATTAGAAAAAAGCATCTTATGGCTGGGAAATCCTGATGGCAGTAATAAAGTCAGACATGCAAGGAGATGCAACCACCTGACAGGGAGCACTGCTATAGATCTGACAGCACCGTTTTGTCTTGAAAGGAAATAAAATAGCCCTTAAAAACAGATCCCCAAATTGCTGTATCAGCATCCAAACTAACTATGTGGTCCAAAGGTACATTGGGACTGCACAGTTAATGGGATCACTCCCGGGTCCTCAGCTGATCCTCACAGAGCTGCAAGTGAGAGAACGCAACTGAACTGAGAGTTGCGTAGCAGCAATGAGGCCACGCTGAGAGGCATGAGGCTTTGTGATGCAAGGCATCAAGCTGTGCAGCTGCGAAGCTACAGAACAGTGACGGATAGAACAAATGGATTCCTGTTTCATTCAAACAGCTCTTCAGGAAAAGGGGAAGAAGCCGTTTGGCAGCAGCAGCCTCTGGCAGTCACAGCCAGTCCTGCTTAACTCCTGCCTCTCCTGCAGCAATGCCATACAGCACTAACGTGCCTTCTCTAAGGTATTACAACAGACCGAGGTGCCTGGGTCTCAGCACACTTATTTCACATTTTGCACTTATTTGTATTAATTTGACAAAAGTAAGCCAGAGGCCAGGATACATGGCTCATAGCTGACATGCAAGAGTCTAATGCTATATCTCATTCCTCCCCTCCTGTCTCTGCAGCAGTGGGAACCTGGCTGTCTGGGTCTCCATCCATTCATCTCAAACCTTTCCAACAGGTCCTAAGGCTCGTTTCTGCCTTTGAGTTCTGCCTTTGAGGTAGACTGGCCACGTGCCAGGAGCTCTCAGTAGAACTGTTACCTTGTAACCGTGTCTACCATGTGACAGGCAGTTAGCTAGGTTCCAGCATTTACTTCTGTGGAATTAAGGGCCTCTGACATACAAGTGAAGAGTATTTGTGCAGTACTTCAAAAATTATGATGGAAGCACCAGAAGTTATTTATCATGTTAGTAACTGCAGAACCTTACATATAAAATTTAGTCTACCTTCTTGCCATTCTGTACTAAGAAATGATATGAAAGCAGCCTTCCAATGGATTACAGACTTCCTGATAAATTATAAAATGGTGGGCTTTTTAGCCTAATACCCCAGAAAAAGATGCAGCACAATACACAAGTTGGGGCACTTTCATCAGTGTTCTAGGCCAGGCCTGCAAGGGGAGCTTGCATGGTCTACCACAAATATTCCAGTTCTCAAAAGCACATAGGTAAGCTGGCTAGCAGAGCCTGGGAGGTAAGGTGCCAGGGGAGTCTGGATCCTGCCAGGTCTCCT